GTGTGCATGAGCAGAAGCAGTTCCCTTATGTGGCAGCCCCAGTTTGAATTTTCTCCACCCTACCAAGTATATGCCAAGTATGTAGCCACAGCCTTTCCACTCAGGCCCACATGCAGGAGTAGACTATTCCCATGTGATGCCAGGAGGGCACCTGGCCAGGCAGCCTCAAAGAGATGGAGAGTGCTGTGGGGATTGGGACAAGATAGTCATCACTTGGGAGGAGACTGCCTTACCTTTCTGGAAGATGTTCCACCCACTTCAGGTGCCCACTGGAGAGGTGATGGAGGGTGAGAGTCGTCTTCTTCAGAACTGCAATGTACTTCACTGACTCCTGCAGGCCCACCAGCCCAAGTGCCTGGAAACTGAGCACAGGTATGAGGGAGGGCCTTCAGCTAGAGTGGCTGGTCCCACTAGTGCCGTTGCTGCTTGTTGGGTCAGAGAACAAATACACCTGGAAGCCAATGCTGGTTCTGCCTAAGAACCACTTAGACACACTGCCTTTGAGCCTCCACATCTCCTATGAGTTACCTCTTCCTTTCCCTGGGATTTCACAGGACTCAGGCCAACCCTCTAGCAAGCCCCCATCATTGTTAGGTTTATGACTATATCCACAACTGGGCAAGAACTTGATGACAGTTGTCTCACATTCACAGTGTTCTCATTGCCTTGGGTCCACCAAGTACTAGAAACCAAGTGAACTGTTAGTGTAAAATCCATAAGCTAATGCCAACAGACGCATAGATTAATCTCAGCAAAGATGAGGCCGTGGTCCAAGCTGTTCTATAACAGAGAACTAAAATATGTAGTGTCAAGCATGGTGATACAGCTCTACAACCCTAGCCCTTGCAAGGTAGAGGCCGGAGCATCAGAAGTTCAAGGCCAGAACTGTCAAGATGGCTTGGCAAGTAAAGGAACTCGCTGAGCAAGGCTAAAAACCCAAGTTCAATCCCCAGAACCCACTTAAGGATAGAGAGAGAGAACTGACTTCCTGAAGTTGTTCACTAACCTCTATATGTACACTGTGGCGTGCACACTCCTCCCCACACACATCAGACAGACAGACAGACAGATACCAAGGGCAGTCTCACCTACATAGCTACTTTGAGGGCAGCCTAGGCTACATGAGACCTGTCTCAAAGCAAACAAACATAAGGGGCATGGAAAGCTCTGTATTATTATGTTTTCTACCTAGAACACAGCACTCAAAGCTCATATATTATGTGGTAAGATTAGGACAGTGTTCAAAAACAGAATAAACACTGTACCAAGTACAAAGCTGTTCGTCTAATAGGTGCTCAATTAACAAAGTCCACCCAATTCATAGAAAATCTCATTTGCTCAGTAAATAAATATACATATGTTATAACAAGCAAATCAAGAACGGGCATCTAAGCTGGATAGGGTGGCACACAAATCCTAGCACTCAGAAGGAAAAGGAAGAGGAATCTCTTAGAGTTCAAGGCCACCCTGGTCTACATATTTCCAGGATAGCCAGAGCTATGTAGAGAGACCCTGTTTTAAAAAAAAAAAAAAAAAAAAAATGGGGGAAGAGGCATCTGGGGCTAGAGAAATGGCTCAGTGGTTAAGAGCACTGGCTACTCTTCGAGTACCTGAGTTCAATTCCTAGCATCCTCGTGGTGGCTGGCAACCATCTGGTAACCCAGTGTAAGGGATTCAACACCCTCTTTTGGCTTCCACAGGGACTGCACTCATGTGGTTCATAGACATACAAGCAGGCAAAACACCCATACACACAAGAAAGAAACTTTTTTAAAAAACAGGCATCTGATGTGCTATGCCTCTTCAACGGTCCCTGAGGAAGGGGGTAGGGGAGTCCAAAGGCCTCTAGAGATGTTGTCCATGCAGATCCCTTCACTCAGCCACAATCACGACGAAGCTCCACTTGTTCCCTACCTGCCACTGTCCAGAGTTATCTCCCAGTTCAGGCCCCCGATGTTAGTCTCCCAAGAACGCATGATCCGCCCTCCATTGGATACAGTAATTGCATCTGGTAGAGACAAAGTCCATGGTCATTTCCCACACTAAGAGCTAAGGGCCACGACCCCCACCTCCAGCTTATGGATACAAACAGGTATTAAGCAGGAACCTGCCCTTCACTGTCAAGAGCATCCCCTCTCCCTCCCCCATCAGAGTCTATACAAAGCACAGAATCAAGCAATGGGAGATGGTGCTGATCCTAATGGGGATCTGCTTACCTTGTCCATGAACCAACATGGCATCCACAGCCCCTTCTGCTGTCCCCTTGTCAACATGGCGCCACACTGAGAGATAAGAGAGTCAGACGTTGCTGTGAGTGACTGTGACCCAATGAGACTCGGAAGGGACTGTGATCTTCATTTACATAGCATTATCCAACTTTAATTAAGAAGCAAGGAGTACACTAAGTGCTATGACCTAGACCTACTTGCTGAAGAGTAAGGGAGGAGGGGTTAGGAGGTATTGTTTTTCCCAATGGGGCTCTCTGCCCCCCAGTCCACTACCACCCCATGAAACACATGAAGGAATAACAATAAGAGTAACGAAATCCGGTTGGAGAGATAGCTCAGTTCAATTCCCAACCCCCACGTGGCAGCTAGCAACTGTCTATAACCCCAGTTCCAAAGGATCCAACACCCTCACAATGACATACATGTAGGTCGAACACCAATGCACATAAAATAATATTTTTTAAAAAAAAATCAAAGAATTAACAAAATGTATGCAATTCATAAGAAAAGAGTTTATGAATTCTCTTTTCACAATCTAAATTTCTACAAACAATCTGAGCAGCAGGGATATCTCAAGGGTGGTCATCCAAGACTTTATTACAAAACAGGATAGAAAGTAGTTTTTGCAGTGTTACTTTAGTTAAGGACTGTCAGGACATTACAAAGGCCAGTGACACAAACATGCATATTGAAATATGACAAGACTAGAAAAGACAAAAAAGGAGGTAAACCATAGAGGACTCAGATTCACTTCAGTCAGCTCCCCTCCCATCTCCGCAGCTCACTCACAGATCTCTCCAGTACGAGAATTTAATGCTGCAATCACATTCTTCTCTGTGGCCACGACCAACTTCTTGGATCCAGGGGAAAATTCCAAGGAGGCAAACTTGAGCTTCCCAACATACTGCTGTCGCCTGAGGAAGAGTGAAGAACATCAAGGCAAAGTCATCACCACTTAGGGACAAATTGCTGGGTTCACAGCAGCACATCTCCCTATCACATGCAGGAAATGCGTGCTAATGAAGAGCTCTGGCCATACCCAAGATTTCTGTGCAACACACTCAGAAGCAAAAGGAGATAAGTGAGAACTACCACCAAATAGATCAGGATAGTAACAGTCTTCCAGTTAAATGTAACACCTATTATTCAAGCAACATCCCAAAGAGCCTAATTAACTTTTAGCTGCACCAAACAGACTTCCAGGTACATATGCTGCAATGAGGAAATACTGGCATTCAGACTGCATCTCTCATTTAGACCACTGTGTTGTTTAGTCTAATTTGTTTTGGTGGGTTTTTTTGTTTTGTTTTGTTTTTTCAAGACAGGGTTTCTCTGTGTAGCTTTGTAGACCAGGCTAGCCTCAAACTCACAGAAATCCACCTGCTGGAATTAAAGGTGTGTGCCACCACCCAGCCTACTCTAGTTTGTTTTAAAGGAGCTAAATTGGTAGTTGAGCCAAGTTTAAAAATCAGTAATTTCTATGTGTTTTTTTTAAGATAATTTATTTTTATTTTATGTTCAGTGTTGTTTTGCCTATATGTATACCTATGTGATGAGGTCAGATCTTGTTGCTAACAGCCATTTGGGTGCTGGGAATTGAACCCAGGTCTTCTAGAAGAGTACTCGGTGCTCTTAACCATTGAGCCATCTCTCCAGCTCCCTCTATGTATTTTCATGTGACTTTATTCTCTCTGTGTAGCCACCAAATAACCCTACCAACTGTGTAAGGCAACTGCTATTGCCTTCATTTCACAGATCAGGAAAATAAAGTCCAGAAAGTTCATGGTCCCAAAATAAGACATTTTTAAAAATACTATTGTTCAACTGTATGCCAATTGTCCCAGAAGCATGCAACAGTTAAGCAGCCAGCTATTCATTCAAACTGAAGCAAGCATACCCTGAAGAAAGAAGTAAGCGAATAAATGTCTGGCTAATAAATTTAGAGAGGACACTGTGCCCAGAGTGTCCGTCAAAGGGAGGGGTGGAGACAGAGACAGAGAGACAGGGAGATTTAAAACTTTAGAACCTGTAAGACAGGAGGGCTAAGAGAGTGACAGCTAGTTCCAGAAGGATGAAACTTCACTGGGAGCTAGTGACCTCTGGTACCCAGGAGCTCACACATCTGACAGCCACAAAATCGGATATGCCAGGAAAGGAGGGAATCAGTGACCTCTAACCAAAACCCTAAAGCATGCCTGGATACCAGGGCTGGCTCCACTGCAGTACAATCTGCACAGTCATAAACAGGTCGGCTTAGAATAGCTCCCTGGGTGCTTAACTTAATGGTATTGGGTTGACGTCTTCAAATTCTTCGTACCTGAAGGAGAGCCGCTCACGTTTTCATTCTGCACAGGGTGCAGCATTCATTCATTCACCTCTCCCGAAAAGACCCCGCTGTAAGTTATAAACTGGGTCCTGCTCCACAGCAGTCTCCCTTAGCAGGAGGGAGACAGATGTTGGGACAGCAGACACCTACTTCCTGGAGAAGCGTCACCCATACGCACCAGTCAAACTTGCCCACTTGATCTTCGTAGACCGCGGCCGCAGGGACAATCAGCGTAGCCAAGAGCCAGAACCCGGACGCCAACGAGGCCACCATGATTGAAGTGCAAGCGCCGCCCGCCGCCATCCCGGCATGCACTGGGCCTCAAGCCCCTCCCCGTGCCGAACCATAGAGAGGAGGCGGTGCGCGAGGCGCTTGGGTCGCTCAGGGCTCGGGAGCTTCTGGGATTGGAGGGACAGGAGAGACTAGAGAGATCTGGAACCTGGACCGAGAAGTGGCCTTCCAGGCACGGGGCTGAGTGCAAACGGGGAGAAACAGCCCGCCTCAGTTCAGGTTAGGCACACGCGAAGGGCAGCCCCGAGCACCTTCCCAGAAGCCCCTGCGCCGCCTGGGTCCTGACGGGCCGTCTGCTCTTCCGCCGCACGTGTCTTCAGAGCGATGCCCAAATCCAAGCGAGACAAGAAAGGTGTGCTCAGGGGACCTCGGTCTTAGGGGCGACGGGGACACGGGTGAGACGCCGAGGCCTCTCCGAGGAGATTCGGCGGCCGGGGAGGCGGGTTGGCTTCGGAAAATCACCGGGAGAGCCCGAGTCTGGGCCGGACCGACGGGCAGTTCCCGAGACAGTCTCGTGTCCCAAGCTCTCCTCGATCGTCTTAGACTGCTGATCCTACCTCCCGATTATTGGGATTACAGGCACGCACCACTGAACCTAAATTACGCTGAGCACTGAGCTACATCCCCTGCCTCGCGTGTGCGTGTTTGAGACAGGATCTTGCGATGTAGCGCACGCTTGTTGTGTAGACCAGGCGGGTCATGATCATACTCAATGGCTTCTCACTACTTTATCCCCTCCAGAATGTAGGGGTTGTACAGGCATGCACCAGCGTCCCTGGTTGCGGCTACTGCATTTTTTGCTTTGTTTTTAAATGCTGGGTCCTTGAATTCTCCATCTTCTGCCTTGCCCCCAAATTCCAAACTGGCCCACCATATCCAGCTAGTGGACTGGTTGGTTGGCGTTAGAGTACGAGACAGTTGAACAAAAAGGGTCTGGCCTCATCAAACTCAGAGGGGGGGGTGTCTCCGTGAGAGGGCAAACAGAAAACCTGGGGAACGGAAAGTAAGCAGCCTGAGAAGGTTGTTCTGAATAGAAGAACACAAAGTGAAAGGGGTCTGTAGTTAACATACTGCAGGACAAGAGGCCAATGTGGCTGTAGTAAAGAGGACAAAATTGGATTGAGGGGAAGGGATGTGGCCTCTGGTATGGCTTTACTTTTGGCTATGTTGATAGCCTGAAGAATATGGGGGCAGAGATGGAAGCAGTAAGCACCCGGAGAATGGTAAGTTGGACAAGAATCCTAGCAGTGGAGAGTGTGGGCAATGGCAGGCGCAATGTGGTTGCCTTGGACTGCATGAGTTGTAAAAGGGACTGTGAGTGGCAGTGCAGGGTAGATAAAAGGCCATATCACCTACTGGGGATATGCAGGGCTTTGTAGCTGAAGTTCTGGGATGTCCATAGGTTTGGGGAAGGGAGCCCTGGTCATGGTCAGATTTAGCAAATGCCAGGAGCCCTTTTGGAAGTAGGACAAATTGGGCATCAGTTAACTCCTCAGTAGAGGTTGTTGTGTCCCACCTCATCCGCACTGTTATTGTATTCTTGAGTACAGATACAAAATTGAAATGCAGAAAAGATGTAGTCTCAACAGAATGAGCTGGTACATACAAGTAATAATGGGAGATGTCATCCTGTATATGTTTCTCATACTGGTTAATGAATAAAGTACTGTTGGCCAATAGGAAAGAAAGATAGGAGGGTTGGTAAGACCATGTGAAAATACATAAAAATGGGTTAATAATTAGGACAGAGCTAGCCGATAAAAAACTAACACCTGGCCAACAGCATAATATCAAATACAGAGTCTCTGTACATTATTTGGGGCTGGCACGGCGGCGGGACAAGACCAGTGGCAGCAGATGGAAAAACCATACTCCTTACAAAGTAATCCCAGCCCTTAGGAAGCAGAAACAAGGAAAGAAAAAATTGTCACCACATCCTATAGCTGAGCCTAGCAGCTGATGGCCTGTGCACCATGCCCTATAGCAGGAAAGGGTCCTGCCTCCACCTGCATGTTAGGCTGCCAATGAGAGCACTCTGTCATCAGGAATGAGCTCAGCTGCCACTTCAGTAAATCCAGCAGTCAGCCCTGGGACTAAGGGCACCTGGTTTGTGTTAGGAGGTGTGTTTAGGGATCTCTGGGTCCAGGAATGTAGATGAGCAAGCATTCTCCTAGCCTTGAATGCCAGAAAGGATAGGATCCATTGCTACCTCCTTTACACTGGCTAAGTTCAGCCACACCTCCAAAGAAGGAATCAAAATTAATCTCTAAAGCATCCAGATTCATCACTTACCACCACCTCCTTTTCTCGGTTTTAGTTTCCTTGACAAAAACTGCCAAGAAAGGCTTGGAACTGAAACAGAACCTGATAGAAGAGGTAAGCGCTTACTCCTTTATTTTTCTATTGTGTGTTTGCTTGGAAGGGTTGGGGTAGGACTGTCAGAGGGTTTTAAAACCAGTAGCAGCAGCGTTTTCCATCCAGCTCCCTTTTCTGCACCAGTACCACAATTGCTGCTCTAGGTCCCAGCTCTGCTTGAGCTCCGTGTGCCTCCCACATCAATGAATGTAATTTCCACACCCTCCACCCCATCCCCGAGGCATCCCTGTGTCCCAGGACCAGGTGATGGGTGCCATTGCTCTTATGTACTCTGAGTGAGTTTGTAATGCTGCCCACTGTCAGAAGGCTGCAAATCAGCGACGAGGTGACTGTGGCCATCCATCTGCAACTGACTTGCTAACCCTGTGCTGCGGGACAGGAAAGTCGGGTCTCCTGGTGCATAAATCATGTGGGATTGAACGGTAGCCATTCCTAGATGAACTTGTAAATAGACAAAGGAAAACATTGGTCATGGAAGGCTATACGTTATGCTCACCTTCCCCTGTGGTGTGTGACCTTGGTGTCAGTGGTAGATGACCAGATTAAAGACCTGTAGGTGATTGTAGCTTGAGGCCAGAGTTGCTTGGCCCATGCTGCGCCTTCAGCTCCAGAGCCTCATGGATTGTCCCACAGCTTCGGAAATGTGTGGACACCTACAAGTACCTCTTCATCTTCTCTGTGGCCAACATGAGGAACAGCAAGCTGAAGGACATCCGCAATGCCTGGAAGCACAGCCGGTGAGCAGGCACTGGGAAGAGGACAGGGCACAGGCGGGAGAGCTGGGTTGCCTCATCAGAGCGCAGTAGCATGGCTGACCCTTTGGGTCTGCAGCTCACCTGCTGGAGGGCACTATTTGCGTTAGAGATGGGCTTTCCCTGAGCTGCTGAGTGACAGGACTTGCTGGTCACTGGGGATGTTTGAGATTGGTTCCTTTGGAAAAGTAGCCCCTGGGATCTGGCTTACCAGTTAACTAGAATGTTATTATGTGCATCCACAAACTGGCCCCAGAGCAGGCTGCTGGAGCTGTTGGGTTGCAGTACTAGACCGGATGGTTCTGGAGTCAGTCTACCATTGCACCAGCTCTACTAGGGACTGTTACACATGGCCCTCCCAGCAGCCAGGCACGATGGATATTTTTTTGTGGTGCTTGCAGTGAGCTGACTCGAGCTTTTAGCAAGATTGGGTTTGCTGGATAAGAGGATGAAAACAAGAATCCTAGGGGACATGTGGTGGGTGGCACAATGAACAGAGCCTCTGGCCACTTCTGGTTCTGGGCTCTCTGGACTCCTAGGGACTGGCTCACACCCCCATTTCTTGATAGGATGTTCTTTGGCAAAAACAAGGTGATGATGGTGGCCCTAGGTAGAAGCCCATCTGACGAGTACAAAGACAACCTGCATCAGGTAGGTCACAACTCAGCTGCCTCCTCTCTGCTGCTCTTCCCCTTTGCTGTGTGACTCTGCGAATCCAGGAGAGCCCAGCTCAGCAGCGTAAATCTGTTATCATTCTGTCCTCCCACCCTGCCTCCTAGGAGCTCTGCCACCAATCAGGAAAGGTTTAGATGATAACTTGGTGTCCATGTGCAGAAAGGGCCCTTAGTGAAGGAGCAGTAATACCCACTTTCATTTTCCAGGTCAGCAAGAAGTTGAGAGGTGAAGTTGGGCTCCTTTTTACCAATCGCACGAAGGAGGAGGTGAATGAGTGAGTGTCTCTGAGGGGTGTGGGAAGAGAAGCTGAGGGTCAGGGAAAGATGAAAAGATGCTCCCGGGTAACATTGAGTTGGGGCTAGCTCCTCTGACTAAAACCTGGTTTTTGTTTCCGGGGTTCTCTTCATTCTGTCTGGCATGGTCCTCCCGATTAGCTGCAGGTGCACAGCCAAGGAGGCCCCACATTGGGTGCACTCAAAGGAGGTTCAGATGTGACCGTGGCTTAGTAGGGAACTTTTCCCCCCACCTTCTCCTTAGGTGGTTCACAAAGTATACAGAAATGGATTTTGCTCGAGCTGGGAATAAAGCAACTTTAACCGTGAGCCTGGATCCAGGACCCCTGAAGCAGTTCCCTCATTCCATGGAGCCACAGCTGAGGCAGCTGGGCCTGCCCACTGCCCTCAAGAAAGGTAGGTGGCTGGAGAGGTGCTTAGGTTTTAGAGTAGTGGCTGCTCTTCCACAGGTACCAGGTATTCACATGGTACCACAGTTACACATGCAGGTAAAACACCCCTACACATAAAATAAATTCTAGAAAATGAAGAAAGGAAGGAGCCGGGCGGTGATGGGGTAAATCTTTAATCCCAGGACTCAGGCAGAGGCAAGGAGAACTCTTGAGTTTGAGGATATTCTGCTCTATAGTGCCAGAACAGAAAACACTCAACAGGGAAACTGTCTCAAAAAGAGCAAAGGGTGGGTGTGGGATGAAGGAGGTAGGGAAAGACCAGAAGGAAGAGGAGCTCGGGACCACTCAGGCCCTCCCCTCTGACCAGCCACTTCTCCAGTTTCTCCTGTGAAGGCAGGGTGTGCACTCACCTCCTCAAGGACATGGAGGAGGCAGCCTCCCTGTGGGTGGGTGCTGAGCTGCAGGAAGACAATCTGAGGCCAATGCTTCCTAGCACTGAGTGCTGGCTACAGGTGCCGTGTGAGCCCCTGCTGGGGGTAACTTGGGGCTGCCCTCCCACAGGTGTGGTGACCCTGCTCTCTGACTATGAAGTGTGCAAGGAGGGCGATGTGCTGACCCCGGAGCAGGCCCGTGTCTTGGTAAGTCTGGGCCTGCAGCCTGGGGAAAGGCCGATGTCATTACCTGTCTGCTGGGATGCATCTCATAGCTGCTCCTTCTCACTCTGCTTTCTCCGCCTCTTACAGAAGCTTTTTGGGTATGAGATGGCTGAATTCAAAGTGACCATCAAATACATGTGGGATTCCCAGTCAGGAAGGTTCCAGCAGATGGATGATGACCTGCCTGAGAGCGCACCTGAGTCTGAGGGAGACTCTGAGGAAGAGGATGACAGCTGACTCTAGGACATGGGACTAAGGCTTTCCAGCAAGTTCTGCCCCTCCAGTGAAAGACCAGGACTGCTGTCATCCCTCTGAAGACAGCAGCTATTTATTTTGCTATGGATAAAGACAATGGAGGATGCTGGGGCAGGACTTTGTTTCTACAATGAATAAAGTTTGGTCCACAGGGTTTTCCCTGTAGACATCAAGAGACTTTTTCTAGAACACAGGCCTTCAGCTTTGTGCTTCTGTTTGGGGCTTGCACAGCCCACTTCTTTGGCAGCACAGTATTACAGACAGCTGACAGCAGCTCCCAGAGTTGGGTGTCCTCTCCAGCCCCTGTCTGGAATGAATTGGCTAAGGAAACTACTGCCTAGGCAACTTCATCACTCTGGCGGGGAGGTGTAGACAGAAAGATTAAGAATTCAAAGTCCACCGTGGCTGCCAAAGCCCTTGTCTTAGAAACAAAAGCAAATGGCTTGGTAGGTAGGAATTGAGGTTGAGGGCATAGGTCAGTTATTAACTCATATTGCACATGAAAGGTCCTTCAGTGTGGGAGAGAAAAAATGCCAGAACGGGTACCTCCTACCACTCTACCTAAGTGTTTACCAAAGGTTAGTCACAGTGACTCAGCAGTCTATTCTTCTGGTTTTTTACTCAAGGACATGAAAAGATATATATTTATACAAAAGCCTGTGTATACATGTTTCTGTTTTTAAAATTATACATACAAGAATATGTAGTGTGTGTGTAAGAATTTCCTGTATCTTAGACTCTGGTTGGCTTCAGTGCATTATGGACCTGAGGCTGGCCTCTTGTCTGCACTAAGTGTTTGGGTCACAGGTGTGAGCAGTCTCACCAGGATGGTGTGGCCATGGGAGCACTCTACTAACTGAGTCATATCTCCAACCATAAGGGGACTTTAGAGTTGTTCACTTGGAAGGAGCAGAATACAGAAACTAACAAAATGTCTCTCAGGGTACAGCAGGCAAATATAAGACCCAGGTTTTATTTCCTGATTCACATGGCAACTCACTACACTCTAGGGTCCAGTGCTCTCTGGCTTCCTGTAACAGGCCCCCCAGACCTTAGCACAGCTGACTCCATGATGGAAATACCTATCAGAAAACAAAACTCAGTATGGAAACAGCACGACCTTTCAAAATGAAAACAAAGACTGAACCCATCAAGGTTCATAGGTCTTGGGACGCCCCTATGTGTATTAACCTAGCTTTCTGTTCTCTGGAATTCTGGTTCTGGTTAACTTAACTGAAGCATGTGAACCCAGGACGTGGCTTTTTGATTTGGTTTGGTTTCTGTTTTTTTCGATACAGGGCTTCTCTGTAGCTTTGGAGGCTGGCCTCAAACAAACATAGATTCACCTGCCTCTGCTCCCAAGTGCTGGAATTAAAGGTGTGTGCCACGACTGCCCAGCCCCAGGACATGGTTTTTGTGCTTAAAAGCTCACCCTGAGAAAGGCTCAGGGCTACACTGGGATCCCACGGACCAGGTTTAGTCACTGGCTGGCTAATGGAGACTGTCTATGGCTTAAATCCATGTATGAGCAGACTTCTCTGGTGGGTACACACAGCTCTCCAGCACCAAAAGATACCATAGTTTACCAGGGTCATCTTGGAGAGGTCATGGAAAGCTGTGTTGGGTGATGGGACTGTATTTTCATCGTGGGGTCACTAAAAACTGTGTAACTGTGAAACCTTCAGAGCTGTACACTAAAATGGGTGACCTTGCTGAGTGTGATGGGTCAACTTTGAGAAGATTGCTTCATGCTGGAGGCTAGCCTAGACTATATAGAGTTCCAGTGTAGCCTGGGCTAGAATGTGAGACCATACTTCCAAAACAGAGAAGAAAAGTCCTCTGTGCATACACACACATACACACACCAATTGCCAGTGGACCACCCAGGACTGCTGTCACTTCAATGAAGGGAGCAGCTATTTATTTTGATAAAGACAGTGGAGGGTGCTGGGGCAGGACTTAATTTTCACAAAGATTAAATGTTGTCCACTGGTTTCCCTGTAGACAGCAAGACACTTCCTAGGACACCGGCCTTCAGGTTTGTGCTTCTGTTTGGGGCCTGCACAGCCCAGCTCCATGACAGCACATACAGCACTGCTGACAGCTGTCAGCAGCTCCTAGAGTTGGGTGTCCTCTGCAGCCCTTGTCTGGAATGGATTTGCCTTTGCCGAGGGCAACCACATTACTTATACATAAGCATGAACACACAGACACACAAACCAGGTCTAAGACTGACAGCAGCAGGAAGAAGGACCTGTCCCTAAGGCAGGGGAAAGCCACTGCTGGAGTTGGGAGCAAGTAGTTTGTTGAGTCAGACTCCCAAAGTGTAGCACAAGCTGGTCCTGAACTTGCAGCGATCTTCTGGCATGTGCTCCTCAATGGCTAGGACACAGCCAGGTGTGCTACAACACCTGGCTGACTAGCTGTGTCCCACAGGAGGAGAAGCATTGGAACTCAGTGGTGAAGCTTGTGCCTGCCATGCTTCAGGTCCCAGGGTCCCTCCCTAGCAGCACACAGACACTGTTGCAAGATGTTGAGCCTGTAGACCACATCAGATTTCCTGACCTCTGCCCTGGGGGACTGAAAGTGCAGAGACCACCAAGACTGAATAGATGGGCCTTGGGTCTTCACAGTCATGAACATGAAAAGCCAGGACCAGCCGGTGTGTTCATGCCTGTAATCCCAGCACCTCAGGAAGCTGAGGTAGGATTGAAAGTTAGAGACCAAGCCATATATGTTGGCACACACCTGTAGTCCAACACCTAGGGACAAAGTCGCAGGTGGATCTCTGAATTGGAAGCCACCAGGTCTACATAGCTAGTTCCAAGCCAGCCGTGCCTACATGGAGCCATGTCAGAGAAGCAACAGATGGCAATTGACTTCAGCATGTCAGCCTGCAAGGAGGAAAATCCCTGGTGTATATATAAATCTTAGACAGACAAGGTCACCAAAACACAGTCTCCAGAATGTCCTTAACTTCTGCTCTGCCTTTAGATATTTGCCCCTGCCATGTTTCTCTGGTATCTGCTGTGGTGTCAATGGGTGTGGTGAGATCCCCACTGCCTATAATGTAGTGTGTTTTTCTCATGGAAACATCCTGTTCTACTGGGCATTTTACCTGTGGATTATATTGAAGACGATTTCTTCTTAAGCTGGCCTGTCTAATTGATAATAGTTTCGTTAGTTTAAATAGAGTTTTGATAATTAAAAATGAATACAGTGTTACACATCTAGGACCAGTAAATTTCACCTAAGAAGCTGCATAGATCAAAGTTCAGGTTAATGATTAAGGAAAACAATTGAGTCCCCAGGAACCAGGCAGGCTCAAATTCTTTTAATGTTAATGTTGGAAGATGTGTTCAAAGGTTCAGAGTGCATTATAGCGTTGTTGTCAAATAGCTTTGAGATGAAAAACCCAAAAAGACAGTCCAAAGGCACATAGTTGAATGAGGAAGAGGTTAAGGCCAGGGAACAAATACACAATGGCTCACTAGCTGATGTACATTCCTTGCCAGGATTGTGAGGTGATCACATATGATTAATTCCTTATTCCCAGTTTTACCCTCTGTCTCCTGATATAAGAAAAAAAATTGAGTGGGTATGATATGCACCATAAGATTTAAAGTGGAGCTAAGTGATTCTTTTTCATTTACAAAAGTTTAGATTTCTTATAAGATTACCTTTCAAGAAAAGTAGTAAAGTGATTGGTCCTTTATTTGTAACCAAAAAACAAAGCCTGCCAGTAAAATACCTTGCTTTTTTTACACAGTGTTAATCTATAACAAGTTGCTTGGGTATGAATGTATTTGGATTCTTGGGATAACTTATTTTTCCTGTAATATATAAAATGTTTAGTCATGTAAGGGATATAGAAAGCAAGCTGTTTTCATTGTAATTGTTCACTTGAAAGAAAGGATGTAAGCACATTGTAATGTTTATATTGCCTGAAAGATCTTGCTGAAGTATATCTAGTGCCAAAAAAGGCATAGAGTTAAAATGAGGTAGAAGAAAAACAAGAATGAGAGTTGAAAACATCAACAATGAAAGATTGAGAAGGAATCAGAAGGAAAACATCAATGATAAAGATAGTGTTAGAAAAAACATTGAGAATTAGTGAAGGAACTCACCAGGAAAACAAAGAATGGAGAATGCAACAGAAAAATAAAGAAAAGCTCAGAAAGAGACCATCAAGACAGGGTGGGTGTCCTTTTCCCTACCTCCCTCAGATAAAAATGTCACAGTGCACTGACTGTGGATTCCCATTGAGCCCCGCACTGCTGGAGGCCGGTCCTCCAGGCAGCCATGGATTAATTTAAGTTATAAGAGCCAGTTAGTAATGAGCCAGAGCTATCCAGTGAGTGTTTATAATCAATATTAAGTCTCTGTATCGGTTATTTGGGACCAGGCAAGGCAGGACAGAAAAGTTCACCTACAAAAGGCAAATGCCACCACACAATCTGACAAAACAGTGCTCAATATTCACCCCCACCCCACCCAACTCCATCCCACCCCACCCCACCACCCCGGCCAATGCTATGGGAAACAGCATCAGCTTCAGAAGTGTTCTTCCATGGTGGTGAAAGAGAGTGGGGTAGCCGGCTGCAGCTGGGGTGCTCAGCAAAGGGGATTGGATGGGAATCGGATGCCCAAGCAGCCAGGCTAGCACAGTGGACGCTGGCGTCCCTGAGGGCTGTTTATGCACTGCAGCACAGGCTTGCCCGTGGGCATCTGTGGCAGCTGACTGTAGGCAGAGCAGAGTGTGAGGTGGCTGAAGTGGGAGGCTGCGGCCCTGGGAGGCATGCAAGAAAAGTCTGCCACCCATGGAGCAAAGAAGCAAGCTGCATGACAGGGACATTTATAGGAGAAACTGGAGTCAGAGGAACGTGGAAAGGGGCCATCTGAGTAACAAGGCTGGCTGCAACCTGCAGCTCAGGCAGATGCAAAGCCAGCAGTGAGGGGCTGCTTCAATAGCTCATGCCCCACTATGGATGCCAGATGAAGATATTATCTAAGTCTCCTATTATTTCAATGAGAAAAATAAAAAAAGACCCCAACTAAGCATAGGAACCTCTGACTCTATCTAGGCTATGGGACAGTAGTTAAAAGCAGTTCCCACAAGAAGAGGGGAGGCTAAGCTCATCACCAACTGTATAAACATCACCCCCACCCCATTGTCTAGAACCCAGGACATACTTAAAAGAAACAGGGAACTAGATAACCTCTCCCAGACCCCAAGATGGGTTAATCAACCCTGCCTGAGCAGACACAGTTAAGGTACCTTTGCTAAATACCCTTTGTCTCTCAATTACTTTGTATGGAAACTTTGTAACCTTGTACACTAAGAAATCTCTGTAACCATGGAAACTCTGGAATTTGTGGCCTTCAACCTAATGGTCTTCCCCTTTAAAAGCTTCTTTTTATGGCTGGTTGGCATCTCATTCCCCCACCATAGAGTGATATCCAAGCTGCCCAGCTTGAAAAATAAAGAGAAACCTTTGCATTTGCATCGGAATTGTCTGGCTCCTTGGGTTGGTCTAGGGCTCTTCGAACCTGGCACAACATTATTAATAAGAACTCAGGAGTCAAACATCAGGATAAAAACCTGCTTGATCAGAGAGGGACAGAAAATCAACCAGTAACTTCCTCTATCTCTCCTTCTCCCGATCCAAAAGCCCAAGAATCTTTATAAAGACCTTCCTACAACATCCTGTGTCACTCTATAAGTATCCAGTATTCTCCAGAACCTCTATGGCTAATTCCAATCAGGTAGTCACTAACTCCACACCCATGTTATACTTTTCTTCTTCTGCTTCTGCTTCTTCTCCTCCTTTTCCTCCTCCTCCTCCTCCTTTGGTCTTATTGAGCCAATGTTTCTCTGTATTGCTTTGGAACCTGTCCTGAAACTCACAGAGATCCTCCTGCCTCTGCCTCTGTGTCTGCCACCTGAGTGCTGGGATTAAAGGAATGTGCCACCAATGCCCCACCCCCTAGTTAAACTTTATTAACACTGTCACTAAGTGATCAAATATCCTACAATGCTTGGGGACCTGATTTCACCCAGGTCAAGACCCTGCCTCCTGCTGTGTTGAACAGAGCCTGGGGAGCCTGGGTTGACCAGGTCACCTTTCAGCTTCTTGTTGCTTGTACCCTGCCTGCATGCAGGATGGCTGTGGAAATTTCATAGCCTGCAAGCTGTGTAAGCTGATGTTGTAGGTGAATAATGAGACTTAGTTGGGGCAGAGAGCTGCTGTCCACTGCTGCAGGACTCCATGGCAGAGAGGACACACACCTGGTGCCTGAAGGAACCTAGAGGTTTCACTGACTTGAGAGCTTGACCACCACCAAGTCCCACCGCTACAGGGCAGAGTTCTTGGTGCCTCTGCCCTCTGAAGAACTGATACATTCCTGTCCCATCCACTGCACCTCAGAAAGAAGCAAGCAGCAGGCCTTTAAGACAATAAGGCCACCAGGTCTGCAGCAGCCTGGGCTACAGCCTCCACAGGTGACAGTTTTATTCATCAGGAGGTACTGGGGCAGAGCTCAGCCAGCTCTCACACTGAAGGCACCTGGCTGGGTGTAGAGCAAGGCAACAGAAGGAAACAAACCGACAGAAGAAACCATCAGGGATCTTGATGAGAAAGACCCAAGGCCCAGACTGGCCAGGGCAGAGCACAGAGTGGCAAGCAGTGACCTCTACACCTCCCCAGGTCAGATCCAGCTTAGCGGAAGTAGTTGGGACAATCATGGGCAACCAGGTTCCAGGCTTGGTCAAAGGCCTCCACGACAGCTGGCTCCAGGGGCCCTTCCTCAACCAAGGCCAAGTTCTGTTCCAGCTGCTCCACACTGGACATGCCCAGGATGACTGCATCCCCACGGTCACCCTGCAAGGAGATACAGATTCCAGCACACATCTGCCACCCCATGACTTCCATCACCCACCCCTTCCTGCCCATCACTTGCTATGATGTGGGATCTGTTCTCACTTAAGTGTTGCTTCTAGGACAAAGGACCACTGCCTCCAAACAACCAAGGTCCTCCAGGGTCCTCTACCCTTCAAGTGGGGACAGTTGGGGACAGCTGGGCAAGCACTTAGCTTCATGCCTGACTTTTACAGGTACTACAGGGACAGCATTGTCCCAGAATGCCCAACTGGAGAAAGGGGTTAGTGAGTTAGTGGGGACAGCAGGCAAAGAAGGGTGCTCCCAGTTACACAGAATGGAATTCTCACTCCAGTGAGTGCTGAAGGGATGGGGTAAATGCACTGTTATTTTTAATGAACTTTTCAGAGTCAAATCTTTGCTTATTTCCTAGAAGATAAAGTTGTGGGGTTTTAACAGGTAAACCTGTCATCATTTGGAGAACCAATTTCTCTGCATGGAAATTGAGGTCACTATAAATGGATGGATGGCTTAACCATAGAAGCAGTTTTACCTCTTAAAGAGAACCTGGATTCTGTTTTCAGACCCCACAAATTGCTGGCTCACAACCACTTGTAACTACAATCCCAGAGGATGTGCCACCCTCTTCTGGCTTCTGCTAGTACCATATGTACATGGTGCACATCAGACCAAAAACTCCTACAGACAAGATAAAATAACTGGACCTTCCAGAAAAATACAATCGAGGTGACTAGACTTCACTTGGCCATTGTAACACAGTGAGGTAAGCTAGCACTACCTACAATGGGTCAACCCTGGGAGAAGCTGTCCAGGGAAGATGAAGTCTCTGCAGATGCCCACTACCACATCCAGGTCTCCATCCCCCCCCCTCCATTCCACTTCATAGCAGAGGCTGATTATCCAGGACCTTCTGGTCTACCTTGAGCTGTGAGTGATGGTATATCCATTGCAGGGTCGCTGAGGTCATGCTAGGGGTATTGCTGCCATAAGTGGACTTCAATGCATTCTCCACCAGGGCGATGCCCTTGAAGTGTTCCTCCTTCCAGTAGCTGAATTGGTAAGGATAGTGACATGGAGGTCAGTATTTTGTGGCCTAAGCCCTGCATCCCGGAGGTGGCCTCTGTCCTCACCAGAGCTCTGCACCTTCAGCATCAGAACACACAGGACCCCAGGCCCCTTGACATGTCAGGGAGGGACACCAGGACAAGAATCTGGCCATTTAAATGCTTGTCAAACATCACCAATACAGCTCCCTAAATGAGGACTCCCAGATGACACAGCATCACATTTGTGAGCCCTGGGACACACAAAAGCATGGCTAAAGTCCTGGGCACCAGTCCAGCTTCCATGGTCTTAGCCGAGGTACTTCCACCACTTAGCCTCTCTGGCCTACTGACTGAGGGAGGGAAACACATTCCCTGCAGCCTGTGTCAGTGACTCCACCAGGGTAAGAGCTGATTGGGCAGCATTAACTAAAGAACATGACCATGATGAAGGCCACCAAGCCTTGATCCTCCACAGGACAGCACTGGTCTCTGACAATGTGTGACAATGAGTTCAGAACCACTATGCCAGGCAATGGTTCCTTCTCCAGGCAGGAGGGCCACAATTGTTAGTGCAGAAGGCAGCAGGTACTGGTCCTTTGTTGTTGCTGTTTTTTCTGAGATGCAGAGCATCAAAGAAATGCAAGGGGTCCTAGCACTCACAAGTGCTCTACCATCAAGCAGCATGCTGCCAATAGGTAAGGAAGGCTTGAATCAAGCAGGGTACACAAGAAAGGCCCATGCAGACTGCTCATTACTTTTGTCTTTGGACTTTTCAACAAAACAAGTTTTAGAGCCTCCCATAGGAAGCTTGCTTGCTGTGCCTCTCCTTCTCAGACAGAGAATACAAACAGCAAATATATCAGTCTATGCTCAGCAATGAATCTTGGAGACATGGCTGCACTGAGATACCCACCTGGCCTGCACCCTTTGCACTGACCACACCCTTTGGGATGTGGGGACAGGTGGGGGTGTGACCTAGGGGGACTAGATCTGGGGTCACAGATCCCAGCTTGTTCTCTTACTCTCTAGTCAGAGACAGAGAGCTACTGGAGGCTTGGGATGGGAAACTGCAATGGTCATCGTTTCTGGTGTAAATGACTTCTCCCGGAAAAACATCCATCAGCCTATAGTTTCCCAGGTTCTTAATTACCACGTCTTGCATGGCAACAACATGCCAGAGGGGAATGGAGTGTAAGAGTTTCACACTGTGGCTGGCCATGGGGACACACACATCTAATCCCACATTTAAGGCGGCAGAAGTTGGATCATCACAAGTTGTAGGGTGGCCTGAGTCAAACAGTACCAAAAAAAGTCACTAGGAAAAAAAAGTCTTAATATTGGATAATTTCTCAATTTTTTTCGTGTGTGTGTGTGTGTGTGTGTGTGTGTGTGTGTGTGTGTGCGCGCGCGTGCGTGCGTGCTGGGAATTAGAGCAGAGCTTTGGGAAATGAAAGTCAGGCCTTTCCCTTTTAATCCTTCCACTTCCTTCCACCACAGCTTCCCCATCAGAACAAATTGTTTAATACTGAACAAGTGGAGCAGAGTATGGTGACAGACTCTAGTAATCCTAGCCCTTTGACCAGGTAGTGATGGCACACACCTATAATCCTACCACTCAGGAGCAGGCAGATCTTTGAGATCAACAGCAGCCTGATTAAAGGGTTAGTTCCAGACAGCCAGTACTACTCAAATAATCCTATGTGGGGAAAATAAAAACAATAACCATTTCCCTTTGGGTGTATAGGCAGGAGGATCAGGAATTCAAGGTCATCCTCAGCTACTCAGAAAGTTTGGGGCCAGACCAAGATACATAAGATGCTGATTCAAACTAAAAACAAAAAACAAAACAAAACAAAACAAAAACCCGAAACCAATAAGGGTAGAAGGAGAAAAGGGTTGAACCCAACATTGTCCACCTATGACCATTGAGACCAATGATGACTATTTTACTACGAAGATGTCAGAGGAATTAGACTCGTTGGACCAGCACCAAGCTCCAGGCTCCCCCAAGTCCATCTGGGCTTGTTCTTTCACCATTGGCACTGAAGGATCTATCGCCAAGGGTAACACAGGGTAACAAAAAACACACATCAAGGGATCCATATGACAATCCAAGAATAACCCTCAAATGCCCAGGACAGTTAACATCAGAGTCTTAGGTCTGAATCCAAGTTATAGCTGGTCCCCAACAAGGCAACCTCAAGGCATCCCTCAAACTAAGGAAACCTATTAAACTTCTGGACCAGACACAGCTCCCCACCACAGCTTACCGGTTCATGTATATCGGGGAAAATCGAGTCCCAAAGAAACAGCTCTCAGGCTGCTTTCCATCCTTGTCCTGGTATTTATATCTGCCAGTCAGCAGGCCCCCTGCAGGAAGACAGCAGTCACACCCTGACCAGGACTCCTCCCAGACATAGCCAGGTGGTTCCCTTCCAGGAACTGGAGATCAGAAGGCAAACTGAGGGAGGGTTCCCAGGTATACCTTCTCTAAGCCACCCTCTTACTAGGGGCTACATGAGTACCCCCTAAGCATCCATAGACAAACATAGGTCAGGCATGCCCACCCACACACAAGACAGGTCCCCATGACAGCCCATACCAGCCAAAGGGTTGAAGGCATAGAATCTTAATCCAAAGTGTCTGAGGCAGGGGAAGAGCTCCTTCTCCACCTGCCGGGTGGTGGCATTGTACATGCCCTGTTGGGAGACAGTTGGAAAGGGGGACATGTCAAGAGACCCAAAATGTTCCTTATTAACTCCATCATTTTATTCTTTACCAACCCTAGACCTTCACAACCAAGACATTCACACAGTGCTGCTGACAGGGTTCATGGTTATTCCCAAAGACCCAGGACCAATGGATCCTTGGACTCCAACATTCAATGGTCCTGGCACACCAGATTCCTCTCACCTGGTACACAGTTGGCATGATCCAGCCATTTTTCTTGCAGAGGGTACAGATCTCAGCCACTTCCCAGGAGGCATAGTTGGACAGACCAAGCTCCACAAACTTGTCCTGCAGGAGAGAGGACACATCATAGCCCAGCTCAGTCCAAAGGACCAGGAAGAGGATACACACTGGGTGGGAGCCTGGTGTGAGGTCTGTGTCCAGTCCTGCTGTGTCCCCAGCACTCACTCCCCTGGCAGGGTCAAGTTGAAAAGGTCGGAGAGCATCTCCCCAAGCTCAGGGGCCACCCTCACCTCCTGATGCAGCTGCTGGCAGGTCTGCAGCGTCTCCTCGATAGGGGTGCTGTGATCTGGCATGTGTAAATAGAAGAGGTCCACCCGGGGACATTGCAGCCTCTTCAGGGATGTCTCAAGCTGGACCCTCACATCATCAGGCTTCAACGTCTTCCCAAACAGTGGACAAGCCTTGGTGGCAATTTTCACTTTTCAGGGAGAAAAGTACAAGTTCAAGCCACTTTATCAAACAGAGTCTCTGTTATAACAGTTAAAGAACAGAACTGGGCAGGACATGGTAGTGCATGCCTCTGATCCCAAGCCAGGAGAGATGGAGGAAGGAATGAGTTCAGGGTCATCTTTGCCTACATTGTACAAATCTAGGCCTATATAGAAACAGTGTATCAAAAAACAAAAGCAGGGAAAAAAAGAAGAAGGGAGGGAGAATGAACCTGAGGGAGAGAGAGAAAAATAAGAAACAGACAAAGACAGAGATATAATTGGGTCCAGATTGCTGCTCTGCCATTAGTAGCTATGAGCATTGAGGCCCTGGATGGGAACCACACTTGCCACTCCAGGTACCAGAGCACCAGGTCTGGAGTGAGGAACCCAGAAAAAGAGAAAAGACAACATACTAGAAGCAAACAGCCCTGACAGCACCCCATATGGAGTCGTGAGTTTATACCAGGTGATGTGAGGGTCTCTAATGTTTTCAAGTCCAGATCACCATGGTCATTTTAAGATGTTTTTAAAGATGACTCTGAATGCAGTTGGGATGATGGGCAGATCTGGTCACAGGGTATCAAACAGAGCAGGGGGAACTTGGGATAGAGACAGGAGAGGCTTTGCTGAGGGCCTGTGAGAGGGAAAATCAGGGCCAGCCACACTCTGCTCTGGGGAAAAACAGGCCAGTGCTGGGACATCTGAGAGAGTCCCTGCTTTACTCCTTGCTCCTGCTGAGAGCCAAGCTGGATGGTGAGATGACTGATGGTTGGAAAGATGGATGGGTGATCAATGGGTAGATAGAGAAATAGAATGATAGATGAGATGAATGGCTTCTCAGATGGAAGTACGGATGTATGCATGGTTGGATGGAATGGTGGATGTATGAGTTATTGGATGGATGGGCAAAAGGAACTTTCCACCCTTGATAAGTCAGTTTAGCAGCCCAACGCAGTCAGTCACTGGAGCCCTTGACACTGAGGAATCACATACCTGGGACTTTTCCATTCTACCACATTATTCCACCTTCCTGGTGGAATAACAACTTCAGACCTGAGCTGTGGCTCTGGCCCAACCAGCCCTGATCTCAAGCAGGGAAAGGAAGGAGAGGTCAAAAAAGAAAAATTAACCAGAAATGGTGACAATGTGTAATATTCCCAATGCCAACACTCTAGAAGCTGAGGCAGGAGTCGTCTAGCCTGAGCTACATGAAGATCCTAGGCTCGCCTGGGCTGCATAGAGAGATACTTTCACAAAACAACAACTCATCCTTTCCCCGGGAGGTAGGCAGAGATCTGGAAACAGCAAGGCACTGGGTGCACAGGTCTGCATCCCACTGTGCTTTGAATCTCTGAGCAAAACTCCCTAGGGGACTGGTGAGAGCACAGTGGAAGAGGAAGACTTCTAGCCAGCACAGCAGCAGCCAGAGAAGTGCAGTTCTGCCACTCCAGAGGCTGAGGCAGGGGACCTACTGAGCCAAGAGCTCAGGACAGCTGCATAGCTCCAGGTCTTTCCTTTTGTGTGGCTACACTGGTTCCTAAGGCTGCCCTCCCGTTAGAGCAGGAGGCCCTGTTAAGCAACAGTCTCAGGATCTACAGGATCCAGGGCCATTAGCAAAGCAGGAAGGAGGTTTCAGTCTTTGTTGTTGAGCAGTGTCACAAAGGCAGGAGTCCTGTAAATCAGGAGCTTCCGGGCTCAAAGACTGGACAGTTACATGGGTCCAGCCTGGACCAGAGCCAGGCACACAGCGTGAGGATGATCCTAGGCTCCTTTTGTGAGAGAAGTAGTAGAAGGAGACTGTCAAGCTGTGGAAAACTAGACGTGCCTGAAGAGTTTGCATGCCCAAACAGTTGCAGTTCTCAGAGCTCTTGGGTGGACAAGGGGAGACCAGAGATCCAGGAGCCTGTGGAAGCTGTGCAGGAGCAGGGGATGGTAGGCGTGAAGGTTACCTTTGCAGCCTCTGCGGCCCAGCTCAAGCCCCATGCCGCCCAGGATAGTCTCTGACTGGCCTTCAGCATACAAGTAGGCTGTGTCTATCTCGGTGTGGCCGCGCTGCAGGAAGGCGCGCACTGAAGCGGCGCTAGCTGTTGGGTCCATGCGGCACCCCATCTGCATTGTCCCCAGCACAGTGGCAGGCCGAGCAGGCGACATGGTGGCTTTGGTAGAGGTGGCAAAAAGCTAAGGATAAGATAGGAAGGTGTATCCAGCAGTCTGAAGCAACTACAGCTTTAATAGCTGGTGGTGGCCACGCCCATGGGGCTGAGGGAGCAGAAACAGGGCGGAGCTGTTCAGATTGCTGTGACTCTCTCTAATTTGCAGCCCTCTTCCCATGCCCTGCAAATCTATCAAGGTGCAGACGAACTCGAAGGCTGAAGGCTGGCACCCTCCCTGTTTGTTCTCTCTGCTTCACCTGTGAACACCCTGAGTCTCTGACCCCTTCTAGCAATTTATGGGGTGAGTGACTTAGTGTCCTTAATCCCAGCATCTACAGGCTGAGACAGGTACATTGTCCCGAGTTTTAGTTCTGTTTTTTCTTTCTTTCTTTCTTTCTTTCTTTCTTTCTTTCTTTCTTTCTTTCTTTTTTCTCCTTCCTTTCTTTCTTTTTCAAATGAACTTAGTTTAAAAAAAAAATTTAAATCAGGCGTCCTGGGCTTGTGCCAGTGCACGTGGGAAGGGAGGGGAGTCAAGAAGATTAGGTATTCACAATCTGCCTTGGCTATAAAAGACCTTGTTAAAAACTAAAACAAATAGCTTGATAGATGAATTGAGGCTGAGGGCAATAGTCAGTTGTATACTCCTCTTGTCCTATTGGAAGAACCAGAACAGGTACCTCCTACCATTCTTTCACCTAAATGTTTATCATAGTTTAGTCACAAAGACTCAGCAATTTTTTCTTCAAGGATATGATATGCTATAATCACACAAAAGCCTTTATACAAGTTTTCTCTGTTGTATTTTTAAAATCACACACTTGAATCTCCTGTATTTCATGTTGGCTCAACTCATGTGGTTGAGAATGAGTTTCAACCTCTATTTTTTTCCCTCCATTTCTTTCTTCATTTTTCGAGACAAGTTTTCTCTGTGGGATAGTCCTGGCTGTCCTGGACCTGCTTTATAGAACAGGCTGGCCTCAAACGCACTGAGATCTGCCTGCTTCTTCCTCCCAAGTGCCGCCTCTGCACCTGCTAAGTGCTGGGTGACAGATATGAGCAGCCTCACCTGGATTGTGTGGCCACGAAGCACCCTCCCAACTGAGTCACTTCTCCAGCCATAAGGGACACTTTAGAGTTGTTCACTGGCAGAACACAGAACCTACCCAAAAGTCCCTCAAAGGAGAGTGGGCAAACAAGTAAGCTGTGAACTTACATTCAGTAACAGATTAATCTCAGCAGGTGCCTGAAGCCAGCCTCTGGGCCACACACCAGGATTCTGTGTGTGTGACACTGCAGTGAACAGAACTCTAGAGGGACAGAAAGCACAGAAGGGATAGGAAGAGGGCTCAGCAGGCAAAAACACTGGCTGCTCTTCATCAGGACCCAGTGTGATTTTCAGCGCTCACACAACAGCTCCCAAACCTCTGTACCTACAGTTCCAGAGGGTCCAGTACCCTCTGAGCCCTCCTGTAACAGGACCCCAGAATTTAGCACGACTGACTCCATGATGGAAATACCATTCAGGCCACAAAACCTGGGTTTTTCTTATCAGCTTAAACCCTGTGTAAGAGCAGTCTTCTCTGGTGGGTACCCACAACACTCCAGCACCAGAGCACATACCACAGTTTACCAGGGTCCTCTGGGAGAGTGGGGTCATGGAGACGTGTTTTAGGTGATGGGACTGTATTGATTGTGGGGTGACCCAAGACTGTGTACAACTGTCAAAACCTTCAGAACTGTACACTAAAATAGGGGACCTTGCTGAGTGTGACAAGTCATGTTTGACAAAATTGCTTCAGGCTGGAGGCTAGCCTGGACTACATAGTGTGTTCCAGTGCAGTGTGGGCTACAGTGTGAGGCCACACTTCCTAAACAGAGCAGAAAAAGAAGAAGCAGAAAAGATAATTGGAAGACAGCCGCTGTATGGTGACCATGCACTCCATAGGCTAAGGCAGGATTTAGCTGTCACAATTTCAAGACCAGCCTAGTCATCACATCCAGTATCAGGCCAACCAGAGCTGTATAGCAAGACTCTGTCTCAAATGTCCAAAGACAGTAGGGAGTGTAGCTCAGCTGGTAAAGCACTTGCCTAACACACAAAGGCCTGGGATTCCCCACACCACATAAACTTAGTGTGATGGGGCACACCCTGTCACCCAGCATTTGGGATGGAGAAGCAGGAAACTCTAGAGGTTTGAGCAATACAGCTCCAGCCCAGTGTGGGCTCCATGTCAACAACAAAAACAACAACAAAAATGCCCAATTAAATAAAAAAGCGGGGTTCAGGGACTATAGCTCAGGGGCTGTCTTGGTGAGGACAGGCTTCCTAACCTATTCCCGATAGGCACTGCTTTTGATTAGATAAGTATTTATGAGATTCTAATCACATTGGTATATACAAATAGGCATACAGTTCAAACACTTACTGATAAATCCCAAGAAAGTTTCGGGAGCTGGGTATGCTGAGTCGTGTCAGCTCCCAACAGAGCCAGGAGGCTCGGAAGCTCGGATCATCCTGGGCTACGTAGTGGATTGCAGACCATTCTAGCCTCTAACAGACCCTGACTCAAAATAAAAATTGTTTCTTGCTTTAAAACAAATTTTAGGTGGCCTGAGAGACTGCTCTTCATTGAGGGGGTAAGCATATGCCCTGCCGGTAAGCCTGGTCCTGGGGACCCATGTGGTGGAAGGAGAGAAGTGATTCCTGAAGTTCTCTGACCTCTATCCATGAGGGTGCTCAAGCATGTATGCCCCCTCAACAACAACAGCAACAACAATAATACATAATGTACAAATGTAAAACAAAAAACGGAAAGTAATTATTTGCCAACAAGCAATTTTTCTTTTCATTAAAGACTATGCTAATGAATAGATGTACTTGTTAATTTTGACATAAGAAATGAAGTTTTGGTTGGCTGTTGGTACTCTCCTTTCTTCCTTTCTTTCTTTTCTTTTAAATTGGTTTTTCCACACAGGGTTTCTCTGTGTAGACCAGACTGGCCTGCAACTCACAGATCCACCTGCCTCTGTCCCCTAAGTGCCAGGAGTAAAGGCATGTCCCACCACCCCCAGAAAATGTTGTCTTTTAAAAAAGGAAGAGCCATACCTATAATCCCATAGCTGAGCTTCGCCACTGATGGCCTGTGCACCATGCCCTATAGCAGGAAAGGGTCCTGCCTCAGCCAGCATGTTAGGCTGCCAATGAGAGCGCTGTCATCAGGAATGAGCTAGCTGCCACACTGCAGTAAATCCAGCAGTCAGCCCAAGGGACTAAGGGCGCCTGATATGTGTTAGGAGGTGTATTTAGGGATTGCTTGGTCCAGGAGAGCCAGGCTTGATTTAAATCTGTGTTAACCTGCAGACCCATGGCCCATGAGTTGTTATCATTACATCCTCCTACCCTGCCTCCTAGGAGCTCCGCCACCGATCAGGAAAGGTGTTAGATGATAACTGGGTGTCCCTGTGCAGAAAGGGCCCTTAGTGAAGGAGCAGTGATACCCACTTTCATTTTACAGGTCAGCAAGAAGTTGAGAGGTAAAGTTGGGCTCCTTCTTACCAACCGCACTAAGAAGGAGGTGAACGAGTGAGTGTCTCTGAGGGGTGTGTGGAGAGAAGCTGAGGGTCAGGGAAAGATGAAAAGATGCTCCCGGCGGCAACATAGGGTTGGGTCTGGCTCCTCTGACTAAAACAGTGTTTCTGTAACCGGGGTTCTCTCATTCTGTCTGGCATGGTCCTCCACACTGGCTGCAGGTGCACAGCCAAGGTGACAGGAGGCCCCACATTGTGTGCACTCAAAGGAGGTCCAGACGTCACCTAAATGGTGGCATAGAAGGGAACTTTTCCCCTCACCCTTCTCCTCCTTAGGTGGTTCACAAAGTATACAGACATAGATTTTCCTGAGCTGGGAACAAAGTAGCTGGGCCTACCCACTTTGCTCAAGAAAGGTAGGTGGCTGGAGAGGTGGCTTAAGGTTAAGATTAGTGGCTGCTTTTACAAAGGACATGGGTTTGATTCCCAGAACATTCATCTGGCCTCCACAGCCACCAGGTATTCATCCCACGGTCCTACTGTCATACGTGCAAGCAACACACCCCTACACATAGAATAACTTCTAGCAAAAGAAAAAAGGAAGGAGCCAGATGGTAGTGGTACACACCTTTAAATTCAGCAGGCAGAAATCTGTGAGTTTGAGGCTAGCCCAGTCTGCAGAGAGCATTCCAGGACAGCCAAGGTTACAGAGAGAAACCCTGTCTGGAAAGTAAAGTAAAGGAGGATGAGGAGCAGGAGGAAGAGGAGGAGGAGGAAGAGGAGGAGGAGGAGAAGAAGAGAAGAGGAGGAGGAGAAATACAAAGGAAGAGGAGCTCGGGACCACCTTCCCCCAGGCCCTCCCCTCTGTCCAGCCACTTCTCCAGTTTCTCCTGTGAAGGCAGGGTGTGCACTCACCTCCTCAAGGACATGGAGGAGGCAGCCACTGTCCCTGTGGGTGGGTGCTGAGCTGCAGGAAAGACAATCTGAGGCCAATGCTTCCTAGCACTGAGTGCTGGCTACAGGTGCCGTGTGAGCCCCGTGTGAGTAACTTGGGGCTGCCCTCCCACAGGTGTGGTGACCCTGCTCTCTGACTATGAAGTGTGCAAGGAGGGCGATGTGCTGACCCCAGAGCAGGCCCGTGTCTTGGTAAGTCTGGGTCTGCTGCCTGGGGAAAGGCCGATGTCATTACCTGTCTGCTGGGACGCATCTCACAGCTGCTCCTCCTCAGGCTGCTTCCTCCACCTGCCTGAGTGTTGTAGGATATCTGCACACTGTGAGAAGGTGTATTGCTGTGACTGGTGTAATAAAAGGCTGAACTGCCAGTGGCTAGGCAGGAGAGATAGGTGGGACTTCCCAAAGAAGAGAAAGGAAGAGGAGGAGGAATCTAGGAATTGGGGAGATGCCAGCAGACACAGAGGAAATAGATAATGTAAAATGGAAGAGCGGTAACACCACATGATAGAATGTAGATTGATATAAATGGGTTAATTTAAGTTATAAGAGCTACTTACAAATAAGCCTAAGCTTTGGGCCAAACTTCATAATTAATAAGGAGTCTCTGTGTACCCTGTCTCTGAAAACAAACAACAAAAAAAGAGAGGATCAGGGAAATCAGCTCAAAGTTTCATCTTTGGTGTTTCTCCATTCACTCAGTTGATTGACACTTGGGCTATTATGAATACCAGTGCCATGAATTCTAAAGAGAAAGGTTTTTGTGGGGGCCCAGATTATCCTATCTTTCACATCTGTAGCTAAGGGATGGAATTGCTGGGTCATTTAGGAGGGTTTTTATATTGTATAGTCCTTCATTCATTCATTTGAAGACAATATCTTACTCTAGCCCAGGCTGAACTATAAACCATAGCAATTCACCAGGTGCAGCAGCCTCTGGGCACAGGCATGTGTGATGCTCTAGATAGGTTCACTGAGGTGGGAGGACCTGTCCAACAGCGAATACCTCGGTCCCCAACTGTATGAAGAGGAGAAAGTGAGCTGAGGCCCTTCGGGACAACAGGACAGGAGGCTTTAGCTAAAACCAAAGCCACTGCTGAGATTATAAATGCTAAAAATGGTCCACAGGGCAGGGTGTGGTGGCACAAGCCTTTAATCCCAGCACTGGGGAGACAGAGGTAGGAATCTCTGAGTTTGAAGCCAGCCTGTTCTAGAGATCCAATTCCAGGACAGCCAAGGCTGATACATGGAGAAACTTTTCCACAAGGTGGTGGGCTTTGGTTTACTTTATGTCCTTTGGAAGCAGAGTACTAGGTTAGTCTGGAACTTATTATATAGATCAGTCTTGACCTCACACTAGGGGTAACCTCCCCCCTCAGTCTCCTGAGCTCTAGAATTAATAGGTGTGTATATACCCACGCCCACCCCATTCTGTCACATGTAGAAGAGTGAGGGGTGAGGCTGGATCAGGACATGGTGAGGGGACCCTTGCCAGGCAGTGTGAGACCCTCCCACACCTACGCTTTCTGGAGCCCCAGCTCCTGGTTCCACCCTTTCCGTGGGTCCAGAGGCAGCACGGAGGGAGCAGGTGCGGAGCAGCAGAGGAGACCGTGTGAGGTTCAGTCCTGCCTGCAGCCAGGCCGGATGCCAGCTTTATTCAGACAGGAAGCACTGCTGACTGTGCCCAGCCAGTTGTCACTGTGAAGGTGGCAGGGAGCAGGGCTGTAGTCTAGAAGGCTGTGTGGCTGGAGATGGGCAAGAGGTTCACACTGGTAGGGTGTGAACCCAAGAGGGGATTGGAAAGCCCTTTCTTGGCGGCATGATCCAGGGCAGTCTATCTGAAGTAGTTGGGACACTCGTGGGCAACCAGGTTCCAGGCTTGGTCAAAGGCCTCCACAACAGCCAGCTCCAGGGGCCCTTCCTCAGTGGCGGCCAAGTTCTGTTCCAGCTGCTCCAGGCTGGACATGCCCAGGATGACCGTGTTCCCTCGGGTGCCCTGCAAGGAGACAGCCAGGTTCTAGCATCTTTCTGGCTGCTCTCAGTTGTCCCTCTTTGCCCATCTGCTGCTAACACTTGGGAATCTGTGTATGTTTACATCCTATACACCCCAAAAGAACTGACTAGATCTCTGGCCGTTAGACCTATAGACTGTATGCCTTGGCCTTCCTCTAGCCCTCATCACTGTGTTCTTCTGTGTAGTTCTGGAGTTCTACCACATATAAAAGAGCCTGAGGTGTTGCCTCTCTAACATGCTCTTATTTCCTTTTGTTTATTAGCTCCACTTACAGAGCATCCTTTGAAGTGTGTCAGACACTATGTTGAAGAGACTTCCTGAGTAAGACGCAGACTCCCAGAGGTGAGGAGAATGGCTCCCACCTGAGGAACAGGGCATACGTGTGCTGCAAAGAAGCTTACATTGATTTCTATTCCCTTAGTAGGACTGTAGAGACTCAAGGCCCCTCATCAACAGTGCCTAAGGTCTAAGAGATACGTAAACCACCGTGTCTATCCTGGCACCAATGACTAGGGAAAGCAAGGGCAGACATATCATGAGAAGACAAGAATTCCAGAAGATAGGGATGGATGCTCACAAGAATTCACCTAAAGGCACTCTGGGTCCCCCATGAGGCAGAAGCTGAGCAAGCAGGCAAGGGATGGCTGGGCTACCTGGAGCTGTGAGTGGTGGTACATCCAGCGCAGGGCGGCCGAGGTCATGCTGGGGGCGCTGCCGCCATAGGTGGCCTTCAAGGACTTCTTCACAAGGTCAATGCCCTTTAAGTGGTTTTCCTTCCAGAAGCTGATTGGATGGGGAAGGAAGTGCAGGGGTCAGTAGCTTAGTGTCACATGAGCGTGGTCTGCTCCTTGTAGGCCTGAGGGGCTGGTGGCAGAGGGTGGCCCAGTTGGTGGTATGCTTCCCTGGCCATGCAGGAGGATCTGACTTTAGTCACTGCCTCTTCATAGAATGGGTGTGGTGGCACACATCTTTAATCCCAGCACTAGGGAGGTAGAGGCAGGAAGACTGAAAATTCAAGTCATTTTCAGCTACACAGCAAGTTCAAGACCAGCCTGGGATATATGGACTCTTGTCTCAATTTTTTTTTTTTTTTTTTTTTTTTTTTTTTTTTTTTGCCTGCTCTTGGAACTCTTTTCTTCCTGTTGGATTGCCTTGTCCAGCCTCTATATGAGATCTTTGGCCTTGTCGTACTGTACCCTCTTTAGTCATGTTTGGTTGTTGTCTCTTGGAGACCTGCTCTTTTCTGAGGGGATACAGAGGAAAGTGGATCTGGGAGCATGTTCTGGTATATTTCTTTGTACTGTAAAGATAAGTCACTGTGTTTGGTTTAATAAAGAGTTGAACAGCCAATAGCAAGGCAGGATTTCCAGGCATAGAGGATGCTGGGAAGGGGAAGGCAGAGACATGAGGGGATGCTGAGAGAACAGCAAGCAAGACATGCAGGGGAGAGGCAACAGCCAGGAGCCACGTAGCCGCACACAGAGTAATAGAAATGGCTTAATTTAAGTTATAGGAGCTGGTTAGAAACAGTCCGAAGCTATCGGCCAGGCTTTTGTAATTAGTAATAGGTCTCTGTGTGGTGATTTGGGAGCTGGCTGGCGGGACAGAGAAAGACACGCTACAGGGTAGGGAGCTAGAAGGAGTGAAACTGTAGTCAGGGTTTGTTGTTGGACAGAAGAATCTGTTTTCAGTAACAATACTAATTTTTTTTTTTTTTGCACAAAGTGGCAGTCCATAGTGGTACACATCTAATTCAAGCACTTAGGAAGCTGTGACCAGAAGGGAGAGGATAGGTTATGGGTGAGCCTGGGCTACACAGTGAGCCCTGTCTAAGAAAAAAGAATGGATAGGAAACAATTTCCTGATACCTATCACATGCATTATAGCTATTTTTATTCTTTTTATGTTTTCTTAGTTATTTTTTTTCTCTGTCTCAGAACTGAAGACTAAACCCAAACCCAGGGCCTTGCACTTGCCACACAAGTGCTCTATCATGGAGCTACATATAACCCCATTTTGGGGGGGGCGGGGTTCCATTTTTCAAGACAGGATTGGTGGGGCATCTCTTCCGTATATATGTTTCTCTTATTGGTTAATGAATAAAGCACTGTTTGGCTAGTGGCCAGGCAGGAAGGATGGGTGGGGCTACCAGACAAGGAGAATTCTGAGAAGTGTACACTGAAAGGCGTCCACATGTGAGCCCAGAAAGAGAGGACAGGAGTCAGGCATTCTTCAGTAAGATAAGACCATGTAGAAATACATAGATTAGTAGTTATGGGTTAATAATTAAGACAGAGCTAGCCAATAAGAAGCCCAAGCCATAGGCCAACAGTTTCATAATTAATATAGTGTCAGTGTGTTTATTTGGGGCTTTCAGGGGCAGTGTGACTCTGCCGGGACAAAGAACCATACCTACACAGGGTTTCTCTGTATAGCTTTGGAGCCTGCCCTGGAACTCACTATGTTTATTAGGTTTCAAACTCACAGAGATTCCCCTGCCTCTGCCTCCCGAGTGCTAGGATTATAGGCATGCATCACCACCACCTCCCGGCACCATTGTTTTCTTATTTCATCTTATTTGAATTGATTTCTGTATTGGGGTTATATGTGCATATATACACATGCAAGCATGCACAGTTGTATGCACACAAAGGCCAGGGGAAAATGTCAATGTCCTGATCTATCACTACCCATCCTACATCTTTAGAATAGGGCCTTTGGGGGTTGGAGACATGGCTTAGCAATTCAGAGACATGACAGCTCTTTCCATACTACAGGGCAGCTAAGAACCATTTGCAACTCCAATTTCAAGGTGATCTGTTGCCCTCTTCTGGCCTCCCTAGGCACTGCATTAATGTGGTGCACAAACGTGCATGCAGGCAAAACATCCAAACACATTACACAGACGAACAAATAAATGAACTGGGTCTCTTACTGAACTTTTGCCTAGGCTCAGCAGCAAGCAAGGCCAGTGACCTTATCTCAGTTCAACACTGTACCAAAGGCATGCAAGCGTTGAGAATGACTTGTTCTATGGGTGCTGGGATATGAATCCCCTGGCCAGACACAGTGACCAACTCAGTTCACCTGTTCCTGTAGAAATTATCCCATTTCTTCCCAAAGAGGCGGCTCAAGGGCTGCTTCCCATCTTCTACTTCGTATTTGTATTTGCCAGTCAGCAGGTCCCCTGAAGGAAGGTAGCAGTCAGACCCTGGCCTGGCCTCATCCCAGAGATAGCCAGGTCATTCCCTGATAGGAACTGGGGAACAGGAGGGAACCTGGAGAGAGGGCACCCAGCCATCCCCTTCTCAAAGCCTCCCACCTCCTAGGGCCTGGACTGAGCATCCACCAGGGCATGCCCATGCACCCACAGGACCTGTCCCCATGGCAGCCCATACCAGCCAAAGGGGTGTAGGCATAGAATCTCAATCCAAAGTGTCTGAGGCAGGGGAAGAGCTCCTTCTCCACCTGCCAGGTGGTAGCATTGTACATGCCCTGAAAGGAAGACATGTCAAAAGACCCCAAATGCACCTTTGTAAAGTCCTTCAGTTTAGTCCTTAACAACCCTAGATCTTCACAACCAAGACATTCACACAGTACTGGTGGCAGGTGTCATACTTATGCCCAAAGACCCAGGATCAATGGATCCTTGGACTCCAACATTCAATGGTCCTGGCACACCAGATTCATCTCACCTGGTACACAGTTGGCATGATCCAGCCATTTTTCTTGCAGAGGGTACAGATCTCAGCCACTTCCTAGGAGGCATAGTTGGACAGACCAAGCTCCACAAACTTGCCCTACAGGGAAAAGACCACATCATAGCCCAGCTTAGTCCAGGGGACCAGGAAGGGGATACACACTGGGTGGGAGCCTGGTGTGAGGTCTGTGTCCAGTCCTGCTGTGTGACCCCAGCACTCACTCCCCTGGCAGGGTCAAGTTGAAAAGGTCAGAGAGCATCTCCCCAAGCTCAGGGGCCACCCTCACCTCCTGATGCAGCTGGTGACAGGTCTGCAGCGTCTCCTCGATAGGGGTGCTGTGATCTGGCATGTGTAAATAGAAGAGGTCCACTTGGGGACATTGCAGCTTCTTCAGGGACATCTCAAGCTGGAACCGGATATTGTCAAGTGTGCTTGATGTGCCAAGGGTTGGAACAGACTTTGTGGCAATTTTCACTTTTGGGGAGAATGGTAGAAGTTAAGAGGTGGGGGACCAGTTCTGTGTGGAAAGTGGGGGGGGTAGTGATGACACATGCCTTTAATCTCATTACTCTGCAAACAGAGGCAAGAGAATCTCTGTGAGTTCGGGGACAGCCTGGTCTACAGAGCAAGTTCCAGAACAGCCAAGGCTACACAGAGAAACTGTTTCAGAAAACAAAACAAAAGAGGTAGAATTGGTAGAGGAAGATGTATATTTCTAGTCTCCAGATCCATGTCATCATGGGCAAGAGCACTCACACATGCACAGACACAGAGATCAATACACACACACACACACACACACACACACACGCACGCACGCACGCACGCACACACACACACACACACAGAGGCTTCTTTAATGCAACAGTTAAAGGAAAGAGCTGGCCCATGTGTGGTACACCTCGGTGAGTTTGAGGCCAGCAAAGATACAAGAAATAAGAAATCCTGTCACCACCCCAAAAAGAAAAGAAAAGAAAGGAAGGAAGGAAGGTTGAATCATGAACTTGAATGAACCTAGTTTGTCTTTATTGTAAAATGGCTTTTAAGCCTAAAATGGAGGCAGGCTGATGCTTCAGTTGTTTGCTCTCCACACATACACACACTCACCACACACACAGTCACCACACACACACACACACACATACTCACACACACATATCACACACACACTCTCTCTCTCTCACACACACACACACTTACCACACACACAGTCACCACACACTCACACACATACACACACATACTCACACACACACACTCTCACACACTCACCACAGACACTCACATTCACACACATACACACACTCACACACACACACACTAAATAAGTGTAAAATAAACAAATGCAGAGCAGCAGGGACCCATTCTTAACTGCCCTGTACATGCAATCATCTCAGATGGCACCAGGCTGTTGAAGGACACTCCCTCCCTCTCCCATACACCCATCCCTTGCAGCTTTAAGTAGGCCATATTCACTCCTCTCTGTATTGCCAAATTTTGTTGTCTTCATCCCTGTCCCCAAGCTCTCCAGAGTTCTCTCTCTCTTTCCTCCTCCTCCTTCTTTCCTGGAACTCTGATGCCCCTGCCTTAGCAGCTGGAGGCACACATGAGCAGCTGCCTCCTCCAGGTATTTGTAGTCTCTTTGGGGAAACAGCTTTCCTAACTGTCTCTCTCCTGAAGCTTGCTCTCTCTGTCTCCTGGCCATTTTAGAAGGGCTTCCTGCAGTGACTTAGTGTTGACTTATGTCATGTTGCCTAAGAGTCTGGCATGGAGACATGGGCTACTGGGGGAGGCATGGAGATCTTTTCCACAGGGAAGCCCTGGGCGAACCTGGAATGCTAACACACAGAGCTGTTTTTAGGAAAGAAATCAATAAATAACCATTGTCCTGACAAGAAGGCTGGGAGCAGATGTGCAGCCTAGCCTGGAGACCTTTGCACTGTCTGTGTGGTGAGAGACTGACCTTTACCACAAGCTTGTTTTTCCTCTGCCTCCCAGGGCTGCTGGGATTAAAGAAGGGTGCCACTTACTGGGGCTGGGCTACCTCTTTTGGTTTTTTTAATATGTAAATTTTATTTAAATTAGAAACTACCTTATTTTACATACTGACCCCAGTTCCTTCTCTCCCCCATCCTCCCATGCCCCCACTGGCCCCCCATCCCATCCCCCATCCATTCCCCAGGGAGGGTGAGGCCTTCCATGAGGAATCATCAAAAGCTGTCAAGTCATTTGGGGTAGGGCCTAAGCCCTCCTCCTGTCTCAAGGCTAAGGGAGTATCCCTCCATGGGGAATGGGCTCCCAAAGAATGTTCATGCACTAGGGATACATCCTGGTTCCAGTGCCAGAGGCATGATAGACTGCCCAGTCCTCCTAGCTGACACCCATGTTCAGGGGACCTGGTTTGGTCCTATTTTGGTTCCCCTGCTGTCAGACTGGGGTCCATGAGTTCCCACTTGCTCAAGTCAGCTGTTTCTGTGGCAGAACCTGGCTCTTTGGAAGCCATCACATGGTCTTTACAAAGAGTTTCAATGGGCTGGAGGGATGGTTCAGAAGTTAAGAGCTCAGGCTGCTCTTCCAGAGGTCTTGCATTCAATTTCCAGGAACCACAGGGTGGCTCACAACCATCTATGATGAGATCTGCTTCCCTCTTCTGGCCTGCAGGGATACATGCTGGCAGAACACTGTATACATTTAGGCCTAGGTGCTGTCAGGATACTGTATACATGACAAAGAAACTTTTCTTTCTTTCTTTTTATGTTTTTTATTTTATTTTGTTTTTTTTTTTTTTTTTTTTTTTTTTTTTTTGAGACAGGGTTACTCTGAATTGCTTTGGAGTCTGTCCTGGAATTAGCTCTGTAGACCAGGCTGTCCTCAAACTCACAAAGATTCGCCTGCCTCTGCCTCCCAAGTACTGGGACTAAAGGCGTGTACCACCACTGCCTGGCGATAAAGAAACTTTTAAAGAAAGAGTTTTGATGTAGTCACATCTGATCTTTTTTTGGCTTACTTTGTTTCTCGGGGAGATTTATGTATGTCCTGTTGTACGTACCAGATTCAGTTTACCACCAGAAGTGGTAAAATTGTGATGTACTTCAATATGCCTAAAGTCCAACACTGCTTTCTTACCTCCCACGAAGATCATTATTCTGCTGGTCACAGTGGTCCAAGAGACCCCCAAAGGCTTTTACATGACTGCATTTCCCTATGCCAGTTGAGAGGCAACTCCTTGGTAAAGCTGAAGCCACTGCTAAACCATCACGTATACAGAGTTTCAGGGAGCAGAGACCAGCCCAAGGCTGGGACAAGCAAAACAAAACAAACAGATCTATTGCCTGATATACAAAGTCGGTGCTGGGGCTGTGCTGACTGTAAAAACAGGAAGTTCAGCTGATGAGGTGTGCCAAAGGCACCCATCTGCTGAGGGTTAGGTGGGAGAGGTCACCCTCTGGGAGATTCCCAATCCAACATGCTCAGTGCCCCAGAGACAGGCTAGCCCTCATGGAATTTGACTGAGCCAGGGTTGGTGTCTTGCGGGAAGAGGGTCCTAGGCCACTTTTCTGGAAGAAGGGGAGGAGACTGTAGAGTTGTGCATAGCTAGCCTGCCGAGTTTGTGGTTCTCACATCTCTTGGGAGGACAAGGTGAGATCAGAGCCTCGGGAGTGAGATGAGGCTACACTGGTGAGGAATCAACTGTGCTCAATGCGAGTGCATGACAGGGATTCCCTCACCCTTGCAGCCGCTGGGGTCTAGCGCAAGGCCTCCCAGGATGCTCTCGGACTGGCCATCTGCATACACAAAGGCGGTGTCTATCTCGGTGTGGCTGCGCTGCAGGAAGGCGCGCACTACCTCAGTGCTGGAGTTCACATCTAAGCTGCTTCCTAGCTCCATGGCACCCAACACAGTGACGGGCAGGTCCTGTGACAGTGGCCCGGACATATCGGTGCCAAGTAAGGAAAAGACAGAGAAAGATGCAGACTAATTATAAAGATTGAAGCCAGTAGCTGCTGCTGTAGTGGGCACACAGGCACTCAAGGCTTTAAGTAACCTTCGGTGACCGCTCCCACTGGGGGCGGGGCTAACCGGAGGAAGGGCGGGAATGTGTAGGCAGAGCTGGGAACTCTCTGTATCTGCCACCTGGAACTTGTTAGCAGGTCCCCATGCGCTAGGTTGTTGACACCTCTAGGCTTCCACCTCTCTGGCTCATTCCTGAGTTGTTCTGGGGTCTCTGTACCCTCCTGGAAGGAGTTTAGCATCCGTAGGCGGCTGTCTTCTCAAACTTAAGGCAGTTCAGACTGTTGAGAGAATCGAAGATGGAGAGAAGTGCACTTAGCAAACGTTCACGACAGGGCATCTTTGAAAACATTTATGCAATGGGGAATTGGATTTACACAAAATGAAGACCGTGGGAGATTGTGGCTTGGGGCAGGGGGTAAATGGGAAAGAGCTTTTCTAGTGGCAGTCTTTTAAAAAGACAGTTGAAGTCAGTGTGGTGGTATATTATTTATAATTTATTAAAAGCATATTGTTCTGGATGAAAACGAAAAAATTCAGGAGAAGCCATAAATCAAAATCGATGAAGATTAGATTAGGAACCTCCCCAAAGTTAGGGTTGGGGAAGATTTTGGTTTTTGGTTTTGTCTTTTCAGGAAATTAAAAACAACCATCTTGAAGAAGTTAAAGACCTTTGGACAAATAAGCATCCAAAGACGAATGGAGACTTACCCGGAAAAAAATTACCAAGAAAAGAAGTAATTTGACCTAATTCGGTCTCAGAAATCTCCAAAAAGAAGATTAAATCCAATCCGGGTGGAGGTCACACATACCTTTAATCCCACCACTACAGAGGCAGAGGCATGAGGATTTCAGTGAGTTCAAGGCCAGCCTGCTTTACAAAGTGAGTTTCAGGACATCCAGGACTGTTAAAACAGAGAAAACCTGTCTTGAAAAACAAAACAAAACAAACAACAACAACATATGGGACCCACAACAGTGTTTCCAGGATAACACCATTAAGCTAAACAGTACCAACTAAAGATCAACTTTGGACTACAGACTCCTGAGAACAATTTTGAGGAGGCCATCTGAGATGGTCCAACCTCACAGATTCCTCCAGCCAGGACTTGAGACAAGCCCTGCACTTTTCTCGCTATGCAGACACTGGACAAAAATAACAGTTTGACAGTTAAACCAAAGTTTTCTTTTCAGGATCCTCTAAAGATGCCATCACCCCTAGACTGCAGAAAGTAACTTTAAGAACAGGATGCCCACATTCCCAAGACGTGGGGGTGGAGGGGTGGGTTTTTGGTCATTCAATGGGTTAAGGATATTTGTCATTGTTTAGGGAGACTGGTTACAAAATATTGTTGGTTATGGTTAGGAAAAAAGTTGAACAAATGGGATTAGATTCAAGATTTTTGTTTTGAAAAAAAGGGGGGGATACAGATATGATAGGACAAAAGGGTAGATTACTGGATCTATTCTTGAAAATAAAAAAGGGAGGATATATATATGATAAAATAAAAAGGTAGATTATTGAATTTACTTTTAAAAAGCAACTACTAGTTTTAAATATCTCCCATTGGATTGGACTTTTGTATAGTATATACAAATACTGTATATTGATACAAATTTGGGAATAATTTTGTTAAAACATAATGTACATATATTTCTAATCTTGTTCAAGGTATTATACCTACACAGCTCATTTATCAATGTAATACAAATTTCTAGTTCTGGAAAGTTATTATTATCAATTACATAAGATAAGGAAATGTAGATTAGTAACTAGTCAACTATTACAATCAAGTTTGTAGTCATATTAGGCATGTTTTCAAGGTCAAACAGATACATTTAGAAAGACAGGTCATCTGCAAACACTTCAGAAATCTACAGAATATGGCATTTAAAATGTTTTAATACTGTAGGGTTTTTGTTTTTTTAAGACAATGAGACATGTCAGCTCCTGGCAGCACCAATCTACTTGAGAAGTTGACGGGCATCAAAGAAACTCCACATGAAGTTTACTTTGTTTATTTTTTTGTGAATATGGCAATGAATTTCCTTTAATCAAAGACAACCATGACAAATCCATTAACTATCAAAAGCTACATTTTACTGAAAACAATCTTCATCTTTAAAAACATTTACTCATACAGTATATGCTACTTTCCTTTCAGGGTCTCACCATTGCCTTCAGTTCCTCAGCTGGCATCAGGCACTTAGTCGCTGCTGGCTTGACTCAGAGAGATCACAGGCTCAGAAATCTCCAAGGTCTCCACAATCCCCTCCCAGTCGCAGTAACTCAGGGCTATAATTCCTTGACTTCTAATTGTCGTGTTTTGTTCAATTCCCTCACTTTCTTCATTAATCACTGGCTCTATTATTGGCAGTCTGTCTTGGTCAAGTCTTATTCTTGCAAAACCATCCTATATAATGAAAAAAATCATAGAAGATGTCTTCCATTGTATGGGGGAAAGGATGTGGATCAACCACAAAATCAAAAAAGGGCATTGGAGCATCAGAGTCTTCTCTAAAGTATGTCTGTAACAATCCCAAGATCCTTTCTATGTTTCCAGTTGCTTCTTGATGAGATTCTTCCATGCATTTAACTGAGCAGGCTTTGCCCTCTGTTTTTCTATCATACGAGGCTGTCTTGGGTGATCAGTTTGTGGCTTTGGCACAGGGAATTCTCCATATATTGAACCCAACAGAAAGTGGAAAATGTGGGTTTTATTAAAGGTGTTTTCTGTTGTTTTGCCTTCCTAATGCTGTGACCCTTTAATACAGTTCCTCATGTTGTGGTGACCCCCCAACAACCATACAATTATTTTCATTGCTACATCACAGCATAACAGTTTGCTACCCTTATGTATCATAATGTAAATGTGTGTTTTCCCACACATATTAAATCAAGAACACAAATTAAATCAAGAACAGATAATCAACTTAAATACATCTATAACCCCCAAAGGAAATAGAAACAGTTATCAATAATCTCCCAACCAAAAAAAGCCAAGGACCAGATGGTTTCAGTGCAAAGTTCTACCAGATGTTCAAAGAACTAATACCAATACTCCTCAAATTATTCCGCACAATAGAAACAGAAGGAAAATTGTCAAACTCTTTTTATGAGGTTATACTACAGATATACTAATACCCAAAACACTCAAAGCCACAACTAAGAAAGAGAATGACAGACCAATTTTCCTCATGAACATAGATGCAAAAATACTCAATAAAATACAGGCAAACCAAGTCTGAGAACACACCAGAAAAATCATTCACCATAACAAAGTAGGCTTCATCCCAGAGATGCAGGAATGGTTCAACATACAAAAATCCATCAATGTAATTCACCATATAAATAAACTGAAAGAAAAAAACCCACATGATCATCTCACTAGATGCTGAAAAAGCCTTCAGCAAAATTCAACACCTCTTCATGATAATGGTCTTGGAGAGAATAAGGACACAAGGAACATACTTAAACATAATAAAGGCAAAATACAGTGAGCAAATAGCCAACATCAAAATAAATGGTGAGAAACTGAAAGTGATTTCGCTTAAATCAGTAACAAGATGAGGCTGTCCACTCTCTATACATATTTATTCAATATAGTACTAGAAATGCTAGCTAGAGCAATAAGACAACAAAAGGAGATCAAGGGGATACAAATTGGAAAAGAAGAAGTCACACTCTTGCTATTTGTTTATGATAGTTTACATAACTGACCCCAAAAAAATCTATCAGGGAACTCCTACAACTTATAAACACCTTTAATAATTTAGCAGGATATAAGATTAACTTTAAAAAAAAATCAGTAGCCCAGATGATAAATGGGCTGAGAAAGAAATCAGAAAATCACCCTTTACAATAGCCACAAATAACATAAAATATCTTGGGGTAACTCTAACCAAACACATGAAAGATTTGTATGACAAGAACTTTAATTCTTTAAAGAATGAAATTAAAGAAGATATCAGAAAATGGAAAGATCTCCCCGTGCTCTTGGATAGGAAGGATCAATATAATAAAAATGACAATCATACCAAAAGTAATCTACAGATTCAATGCAATCCCCAGAAAAACCCAACACAATTCTTCACAGACCTGGAAAGAACAATACTCAACTTCATATGGAAAAACAAAAAACCCAGGATACCCAAAACAACCCTGTACAATAAAAGATCATCTGGGGACATCACCATCCCTGACTTCAAGCTCTACTATAGAGCTATATTAATGAAAACATCTTGGTATTGGCATAAAACCGAACAGGTAGACTAATGAATGGAATCAAATCAAAGACTCCTGATATCAACCCACACACCTATGAACACCTACTTATTTTTTTTTTACAAAGAAGCTAAAAATATAAAATGGAAAAAAGAAAACATATTCAACAAATGGTGCTGGTATACCTAGCTGTCAACAAGTAGAAGAATGCAAATAGATCTGTATCTATTGGCATACACAACACTCAAGTACAAATGGGTCAAAGACCTCAGTATAAATCTAACCATACAGAACCTCATAGAAGAGAAAGCGGGACATATATGTGAGCACATAGGCACGGGAGATCACTTCCTAAATAGAACACCAGTAGTACAGGCACTGAAAGCAACAATTAATAAATAGATCCTCCTGTAGCTGAGAAGCTTCTGTATAGCAAAGAACACAGTCAACACAGCTCTCTACAGAATGGGAAAATATCTTCATCAACCCCACGTCTGACAGAGGACTGATCTCCAAAATATACAAAGAACTCGAGAAACTGGACATCAAACTACCAAATAATCCAATTTTAAAAATGGGGTACAGATCTAAACAATTCTCAATAGAATAATCTCAAATGGTAGAAATACACTGAAGGAAATACTCAACACCCTTAGTCATCATGGAAATGCAAATCAAAACAACCCTGAGATTCCATCTTACACTAATCAGAATGGCTAAGATCAAAAACACCAATGACAGCTTATGCTGGAGAGTATGTGGAGTAAGGGGAATACTCCTCCATTT